CTCAATTCATTGTTTCTGATTGACCAGATCAAATTCTTTGAGTAACATACTACACTTCTTGGTTTCAAACATGATATTAGCGACAATTTTATTTTAATGTTATTAGAATCATCACTTATAGATTTCTAATGATATCTTCAATCAAATAACAAGTTTTGTGGAGTCCAACGTGCTCTAAATGTAATTATAGCGGCGATTTTGATCATTTTACCAAAAATTCAATTATCCCGGGACAAAGTTGCCCCGGGGCAAAGTGTTCACATGAGGAAAAGTTGTCCCGGCTAGGCGAGTGTCCCTGTCTACAGAGGCGAGGCACTCGGGTCAATTCTTTTCCCGGGACAAGTAAAATATCATGTGAACAGCACTATTCTTTTACTAAGGAGCCGAGACAATTTTTGTCCCGCGACAATTTCTTGCCCCGAGACATAACGCTGTCCCGGGTTCATGTGAACAGGGCCTCAGAGTAACACCACAAACATCATGATATTCATCTCGCCTAGGCGATTTCCCGGCTTTTTTCTGCCAGGAACTCGCCAAGGCGAGTTACTCAGCTTCATCATATAAACAGTCACCCGGGATTACTATAAGTTTCCATGATAGCCGGGATCTTGCCGTTGTTGAGTAACTTGCCTTGCCGGGTGACTTGCCTCCATATACAGTAAACAGGCCCTAATTGGTAGCTTGTGTTCTCTTTATTATTCAGTTAATTGTTCAGTCAATATTATATAATATATTATAATGATAATAACTTTGACCTAGCATTAGTAAAGTGGATAGCGCTTTTCAAGCAATGGACCAATCCCACATTAAAAATTTTGATCTCAACAAGTCTAGACAAAAATTTCATCACAGCTTGAAAGAGCATCACAAAATTAGTAATATTCCAAAGTTTCGTTGCGAAATTTTGTAAAATGCGGATAATATAGCCTTGCGAAGTTTGCAATTTTCAGTCATTTTGTATTACAAACGGGAAATGGTTGCCACTTCCGTGCGTAATACAAAATGACAGAAAATTGCAATCGCAATTATCTGCATGCATTTTACAACATTTCGCAACGAAACTTTGGAATAATACTAATTTTGTGATGCTCTTTCAAGCTGTGATGGAATTTTGACTAAACTTCTACGTTGAGATCAAAATTTTGGTTAATATGGGATTGGTCCATTGCATGGTTGCTCAGTTCCAGATATCCTTACACTATTCACCTGTAGCTGAAAATGGCTTCCAATTTTCATTCTGGTTACAGGCGAACACATTTTTGTACTAGACGAAGCTGAGGTGTCACCAAACATGAAGAAAACCACAAAGTTTTGTTGAACAGTCACAGTGTGTAAAGGTATTCTTTAAAAAATTACTAAAAGCATGTAAGTTCTGATTTGTTGAACTGCTGAAATTCAAATTTTTGAACAACATTTTCGTTGTTGTTTACTTATTTTTGTTTTGTTCTGGTTATCTGGTATATGCTACAACAACCATTCCAGCAATAAGCCCAGGGAGAGGGTACTAATTCCGCTCGGCTATTTACACCCTGAAGTGCAAAGTCATGCACATGGGCCATGGCTAAAAAGTTTTCATTTTGCAAAGATGTATTTCACTATTTTGCTGTTAACAGAACTGCAAAAGGGTAATTTCATGTCAATTCATCCAGACATTTTTGAGAATGACGCCATATACCACTTCAATTTTTTTTCAAATTTGTATCATGTCCGCCGCATTAACCATGCATTGCCTCGGCTGTGAACCTATTGCCTGATTAATATGTGTGGGTGAGTGATAAAGTTTCAGAATACGTGGTAAAATTTCATACTAATATACCATACCTTGTGTTGTAGATTTCACTCATATCTGCAAAATTTTTAAGCCATTCTTACGCTTAGCTCAATAATATATTTTTATGCCAGCTGGTATTTACATGAGATTAATTGCAGTGATTATTATTGTTCATTTGGGACAATTCATCCAGTGGCACCGCATTTAGGCTACACTGTATTTTTATGTGTGTTTATAATAGTTTTTACCTACAGCAACTGTGTTTTGACCAAAGCCGACTCAAGTAAAAGCTCGTGCCTATAAAGCGAATATATTTTACCGTATTTTCGAGCAAACTATTTGTGTAACAACGAGTTTTTCAGTTTCCCCGGCGTCACGGCAAAGTTTCGAAACGTTTTTCATTGAAGCCTTTTGAAAGCCAAATAACATAAAACTACAGACAATCTACATTTTGTAAATCATTAATTCTTTAGTGAAAAAATTATCTCTTTTTAATATTTTCTCATAATATTATGGCATGTTACCATGAGCCATTTAATCATGAAATATTTCATGTTGAATTTGTAGACTTCTCTGCCAAGAAAGGCGAGGGGTTGCTGCATGCATGTATTTCTAGTTCATCGGCGGACTTACTCGGAGGTTAGGTGGCTAACCGCCCCCTTAGAATCTCTCTAACCCCTCTGATATAAAAAGTGTTTTAACCCACCAAAATTTCGCTTCACCCCTCCTATTTTGTGTAAGTCTTTAAGCCTGTAAAAAGCTCACTCAGTGGCGCAGCTTCCACCCCACTAGAAACGTTTCCATCCCTCCTTTAAAAAAATGAAAATCCGCCCTTGCTCTAGTTCACCTCAGGCTCGATGTCGGAGTGCCTTGCACTATTCTCCTCCACTTTAGTAAATAATTGTTAGATTAAGATACCTGGCTTGCGAGGTTGACCATTCTCCTTCTTCGATCCTCTCTTTAAATCCTTTCCTCCATGTACACGTCGTCTCCTATCCAATTTTCGTTGAATTCTTCTGCATCTTCGTATAAACAGCTTATTGTCCTTTGCTATGCTGATACACATCATAATAACGTCCTTCCAATTTCAAAACCTTTTTCTTTTGAACATGCATGAACAACCTTAATGAATGAATAAAACGGAAAAGGTGTGAAATTGGCCGGTAGGCCGTTAATTAATGTGGTGTACTGATATAAGGTCCATGTGCAGTCTTTTAAATCTAAACACAACCATGCTCAGTAAAACATGGAGAGAATTTTGTTCCTCATTTGAATCAGTCAAAATGCTTGTAGCCATATAGGAAACGAAACGTCCACTAGAATGTTGAATATAAAAAAGCTCTATTATCTATTCATTGCTTCAGATTACTCCCGAGAATTTCAATGTTTTTCTCTTTCTTTCTAAAGTTATTGGGATGTTAGTATAATAAAGTTAATACTTTCCTCTTTCCTCCGCCTGTTCATAGCAAAAATAAATATACAATTTTAGTCCAAAAAGATTATTTTTATATAAGGGCCAGTATTAATATTACTTTAATTTATCTTTATATTTTGTTCAGTAAAATTATAATTCATGTCAGTCAAAGGAAAAATAAAATTGTTGTTCTTATTGTTGTTATTGTATATATTGTGATGAAATACCTAAATTTTATTTTACGACATTGTAGAGAATGGCTTCGCCTTCGCAAAGTTTGAATGACCAAGCCAACGGTGCGAGACTAAGCCGACTTTTGGTAAATAAAGGAACACAAGCATTGAGAGCGGCATTCGACTTCACGTATCCTCCATCCACTTTAACTGCAGTGTTAAACACAAACAAAGCAATACTACAAAAACTGAGGTACAAGGTGATAAATACTTCACAATGGAAACTTTTGTATCCTTCTTCAGGTCCGCCAGATTCGCAAAATTTTGATGTGACTTTGTTGACTGTACTTTTGCGAAACATTTGTGGATTGACCAGGCCAGCAAGTGGATGGGATACTTTGCCTCCAGATTCTGACACGTCCGTGGCAGCTAACATAGCGAGGATAAAATTTTATAGGAATCAGGTTCATGCTCATATTACGACCACAGAGATTGCTGACAACGAGTTTGAGAACTTGTGGCTGAAAATATCTAAAGCATTGATTGGTCTTGGAATTCCCAAGTCTGAATTGGATGAATTAAAAGAAGCTCCTCTTAGTCCTGAAGAAGCTGGTTGTATCCAGCTGTTGAAAGATTGGTGCAAAAGTGAGGCCGAAATGAATGTTGACGTCAAGGAAATCCTAGCAATAATTAAGGAAGAGCGTGCGCAAAAATCACGTGAAACTGAAAAGGTGTCGGATGTGGATAAGTTGGGCAAATGTGATTTCAGTGGGATCAGAAAAAGTCTCAACGATGAGTTCTTACCAGGAACAAGGCAATGGCTTTTTGATAAATTGAGCTCTTGGTTTACTGATAAAAATTCTGATTCTACTGTAATGATTCTTACCGCAGGTCCTGGAGTTGGAAAGAGCGTTTTCGCAGCCGAGGTTTGTCGAATGTACGCCGAAGAAGGACAGCTGGCAGCTTGTCATTTTTGCCAGTACAAGAACTCAGATTACAGAGATCCACGCATGATAATCGAGTCCTTGGCCAGCATCATGTGCGAAAATGTAAAAGGTTTTAAAGCAAAACTTGATGAACAACTGCAAAGACGTCATTCCAGAGAAACACTATCAGATGCATTTCGTGTTCTTTTAAACGATCCTCTGTATGCCCTGGAAGAGCGCGAACCAATGCTATTGGTTATCGATGCACTGGATGAAAGCATGGTTGCAGGAAAAAGTGAACTTCTGGAGTTAATTTCGGAAGAGTTTCCTAAACTACCCCAATGGATCAAAATCTTGATCACAAGCAGACCAGAGTTAACAGTGAAAAAAGAATTGCACCATCTCAATACCGTGCAAATTACCCGATATGATACGAAAAACAAAGACGATCTCCTGAAGTATCTTCGAAAATCTTTATCACATATCTGTAACGATGAGAAAGTCTTTAGGTCATTAGCTGAAAAATCCGAAGGATCATTTCTTTTCGCATATTACACTCAATTAGAATTGAAGGAAACAACGAAACAGCTAACGATAGAAACGATTTCCGAACTTGTTCCCAAAGGCATAGGTGGTTTTTACCAAAAACAATTAAAGCATTTAGAAAATGAACTCAATGCCCTTAGTTCGTCGGAAGTCAAGTTGAAGCGTTTTCTTCAAATCCTTGTTGCGGCTGAAGGCCCACTGCCATTGAGTTTATTGCCCGAGTATCTAGGGTTGCTTGATAATATCGAGTACAAAGTACGTCAGTCAATAATTGGAATCATGTCCTCGATTTTGCCTGTTTACGATAATTGTTTAACTGTCTATCACAAGTCACTTCGTGATTGGTTGATGTTTGATGGTTATAAAGAACATGATTTTACTGTTGATTCCCAGATTGGGCATGAGTGTTTATGGAGAGTTTGCAAGAAAGTGTTTGATCAAATTATTTCATTGAGTACGTTCTCAAACTTTAAGCCATCTCCGATGACAAGATATGCTCTGGTTCATGGAATTTCTCATATGATCCAATCTGACAGCAAAACCAGTTACCATTTGTCAGTTGATGTAAGAATAGTCCTTGCCAGGATGATGAATCAGATAGACTGTTTTGAAATGGAACGCGAATGGCGGGAAATCGTTGATAATTCACCTTCAGTTTTAAGCAGTGAAATGTTACAGGAGTTGGACTGGCATATCAAGCTTTTCGACTATTTGATACGCGGACATTTCGACTATTTGTTATGCGAAGTGAGCGATTGCCCATCATCTTATTTGCAGTCTGTTGCAAATAGAATCGATTGCAGTGATGAAAAAGGAGTACTTGTTAGATCATTGTTGGAACAGGGGCATCATTTTTGGTTTGAAGATTTGGATGCTACAAAACTAACAAACCATTTTTACAAGTCAGTTTCCTTGCGAACGGATGTCACGTGTATGTGTGCATCATCCAATGAACAGCTTGTTGCAGCTGGGTATAAAGATGGATGGATTTCAATTTTCAGAGTGCCAGACTTCCAAGAAGTACACACCTTTGATACCATGCCAGAATCTAGTGCTTGTCGTTCCATGCTCCTTCGTAATCGGGATTACACGCTTCACACAAAGAGCGAATTTGTTGGTCCGTTGTGGTCCTGTTCATTTTCGCCATCAAGCGTCAGGCTGGTTACTTGCGATGGTTCAGAAAAGGCAAAGTTATGGGATGTCAACAGTGGCAACCTATTAGCACGATTGCAAGCTGGAGGATCTGTTAATTGCTGCTCCTTCAGTGAATGTGGTTTATTTATTGTAGCGGACAAATTGAGGGAGAATTTCAAAAACCAAACAGATGTGTTCAGTGCGTGGAATGCATTAACCCTACAAAGAGTCGATCGACGCAATATTCGCGGGACTCAGCAAAGAGTGGATCAAGGCAATCGTTACAGTTCGTTTAGGTTTCTACCCGATAGGAATAATAAGAGCAAACTTTTACTGTCCCGTAACGGTGATTATATCGATGTATTTCAGTTACCCGATGCGCTTCCCGTTGCTCGGCTATACGAACCATTTTTCTTATTTTCACCTCCCTTACCACTGCATACCACCACTAGATCCCACTGGCGGAACTGCGTCTTGCACCATACCAATGAGTCAATAAAGTTGACTGAAGTTGATCAGTTAAACAAAGGACCCTTAGGCTACGAGTTATGTCCGTGTGACTTCGAAAAAAACAGACCTGGTCTAGTTACAGTTCAAAAACGATATGTGGTGCCGTTTGTTAACAAGTTAAATATCTTCAGCGTTGCCGATCAGCCTTCAATGTCGATTCAGCCTTTGTTCGTTTCAGAATCGTATGCCATTTCGTGTTGCTGTTTCTCACCAGACGGCTCTTTGCTGGCAACTTGTGCAAATGGTGCTCCTCTTTCCGTTCTTATTTGGGACACTAAACTTTGTACTGTTATACAAGTCTTGCGATTTCCTCTGGTGTGCGCAGAGGGCTGCTGGTGGTCAGAAAGTTTGCTTTGGATATATGATGGTGGTCTCGTGAAGATACTCATCTCCAACGGACGAAGTTTGGAGCCATCAGGCGCACAAAGGGTTAAGATCGATTGGGAACCCACGAAATTGCTGACCTTTTCAGATGTGCTAATTTTCATCGACCAAAAGAATTCTGCCAATGTGGCAAGAATTAAGAACGGTGAGTTGCAGTATGTGGAGAAGTTGCCCATTGATAACCCGATTCTATGTGCAGCAGTATCACCTTGTAACTCAATCATTCTTATGGCTAGCACGGAATTAACCTTTCACGTATGGAGAGAGGATCAAACCTCACAGTCTCTTCATTGGGTAGCTTCAAACACTGGAGAACTCCTTGATTTTCCTCGTATGAAAGGCAGTGAAGAAAACGTCATTTACTGCAAATGTTGCATTACAAGCGACAACACTAAAGGAGTTTTGGCGTTGTATTTTCGCGAAAGAGGTCTCACAGTGTATCCTCTATCATATGATTTGATTCTTGTCGATTTAAGCTCGAAAATGATGACGAGGATTATTCCATGCCATGATTCCATGCCTCGACTAGTCTCAGAAATGGGTGAGTTTTATGCCGGCAATTCGTATTGTATTGTCGTTAATCGCAAGCGTGCCTGGTTGGGAGCCGTAAAATTAGCAACTGGCGAATGCGTAGCTGAGTGGATGACTTCTCTTGAGTTACAGTTTTCTCCGCTTATTGTAGCGCATTCTAAAAATGATCTTGTTGCTATCATCATACAACATCCTGCTAGAGTTCGGTTTTTAAAAATTGTCGTTCCAGAGTGATAAAGAATTTTTCGCTTTTCACATGAAAATCCTGACATTTACAACCAAACTGTGGAAAAAGGATCAACCTTCACAGCCTCTCCACTGGGTGGCTTCAAACACTGATTTTTCTCAAAAAGCAGACAGTGAAGAAAACGTTTATTGCGAATGGCGCATCACAAGCGACAGCACTAAAGGAGTTTTGGCGTTGTATTCTCGCCGAAATTTCATGAAAAAATTCAATCTTCAATATTATTTCAGTCTGGATGATTTAAACTCGATAATCAGGACGATAACGATTCCATACCATGCTTTCATCCTGCAAAGTTTGTCAGAATTGGGCGAATTTTATGTCGGCAATTCAAATTATATTGTCGTTGATCACAGTCGTATAGTTGTCCCTGGTTGGCAGTAGGAAAATTAGCAACTGGCGAATCCGTAGCAAAATGGATTATTTCTGATGAGTTATATCATCCTCCGTTCATTGTAGAGCATTCTAAAACTGACCTTGTTGCTATTATTACACAACGTCCTGCTAGTGTCAGGTTTTTGAATATTGTCGTTCCGGAGTGATGAAGAATTTCTCCCTTTTAAGCTTTTCACATGAAAAACCTGAGAATTAGAACCGAAGGTAAATGCGGTTCCATCAG